CAACATTATCATAACCCCTCCATTGATTATCCATAAATAGTAGCTATCAGACTTTGCATCCCTGGGATCAACGCGCAAACCCCGCCGCAGCGCGCCGCATTTTGGGCCAACTGAGACCGCAGCGGGATTTACCCCAGTGGCTACACGTCGCCACCGCAGCGCTATCCCTGTGAAAAAAAATCCTTTGGGCAGCGTGGCGCGCCAAAGTGGGGCCCAGCGCGCCGCAGTTTAGACCCCTGGGGCTCGTAACAGGCAAAAACACAGAGAGTAATCATTTCAAAGCATTACTATGACAACATCTATCCTAATAGACATGGTCTTTCTTTCCAAAGCAAACAATAACTTGAGTCAATCTAAAATTTCGATTTCCACCCTTCTTTTCTTTTTAGCCTGCTCGTCTGAGTATGAATTCACATATTTGATGGCATCACCATAATCACCTCCAGGATCTACACCGTCCCTTGTCCATTCGCGAGAACATACTGATCTGGTAATAGTGAGTGGAACCAGCCCCGTGCGATCCTGCGAGCAGACATCTGCTGCACCGGAGAAGACCCGTTCGGCCGCGCAAGTGGTACCTGTGACAGCCAGATAATCACGTGCCAAAACAGCAAGTACTGGGAACACCGCCTCGTTTGCCTGTTGTAGATTTTGATGAAGTGGTTAGTTGAGTTGTAGTAGAGTTCAAGGGAATGACAGATTAATTAAGTAGCACTTACATTCCACCAATCTAAAGGAGTCTTCGTTTTGTCAAATTCCCGCTGACCCGCTAAGTAAGATTCCAACTCGCCTTCTCTGGCGGTTTGCTGAGGGTTCGAATTGATAAAGTCATTGAAATCGTCGTCATCATCAACTGGAAGAGGTACATCAACAGTCGATTGTGAAGGTTCGGTTTCTTTCTTGGCAGTTTCAAGGGCATCAGCGAATTCTTTGGTAATCAACGTCATTGCCAGGTCTTTTTTCTCTGGGTAAACTTTTTGAATGTAAGCAAGTCGATACCGTGGGTGCATCACCGTTGCAAGTATCAACGCAGAGCATCCAAGAGCCTCGTCTAGATAAACTTTTAACTGATTTAACATGACACCCATCATATCTTTGAGGGGTTTCGAAGTCGATTTGACCTGGGCTTCGGTGAGAGCTTTGATGATCCGGTTATATTCCACAAGAACCATTGCGCCAGAGGGGAAGTCCCCCTCCATGCGTTTGGTACCAATGGAGAATATCTGCGTGAAAGGAAGTCACACATTAACATAAAAAAAGTTATAATCAATAGTAAAAGACTTTACTCATACCTCTAGGACCTCGTTGAGGGCCTCGATGGCTTCCCATTCGTCGTCATAGATGGATGTTCCTTTGAAGAATTGTGTTTTCTTACGATCCGCTGAGAGCATCTTGTTGATGATCTGCAATGTGAAACGTTGGGTTAGTTTGATTTTAAAAGATATAAGTCAAACAGTTATACCTCTTGAGCCGCAACCATGCAAGTACGCGAGTCGTAAATGACATTCCACCGGATGCCGTAACCAGCAATGGGGGTGCGATGCGTCACTCCTGCTTGCTTACATAGGCCTCTGAATTCTTGTCGACGCGAGTGTGAGCCAGCAAGCTTCTTGCTGACAAAATCAACCTTTTCGAAAAGGTGTTAGTAATAGTTTGTTTACATTAAAGAAAGTGTGAACTTACCTTTTGAGCAGCCGTCGCAAATATGTTACCTATATGCTCAGCTTCAATGTCTGCAATTTCGGGCGTAAGATGAAGAAGATCTTCATCATCCTCGGGTCCTTGAGGCCCTTCGTCTGGAGTGTCATCTTCGGATTTGTCATCGGAATCGACTTTGTCAATGTCCACGTCTTCGTTGCCGTCATTGAGCTGGAAGGTTGGAATGGGAATAGCTGCATTGCCGTCAGTGGTAGGCTTAGAATGGCCTGAGTGCATCGAGAGAGCCTTCAATCCGGCCTTGACCACCAAGGCCAGCTTGTGGCAGTAACACCGGGCGTGCATCTTAGCACTGTCCCAGTCTACCAAATCTTCAGCTGCTGAAAACATGGCTGCCATCTCGGCAGCCATGGTGAAGTTGTTGGAACCAGAGTCGGTAGTCTGACCAAGCACGTGGATAAATAAAAAAAAATCAGCTATCGAAATGAGGAAAAAGATACAAGTTCATATAAGAAATACTTATTTTGTTGTGCAGTTTATGTCGGATAAGGTATCGTGCCACCGGTCGAGCCAAAAGAGATCCATAGTGGTTCCATGCAACCATCTTAAGGGTTAAGAGCACCTTGCAGTACTTGAAATCAGAGTCTATGTAACAGGCAATCAAAGCAATAAATGCATATCGATTGCCTCGGGTTGTCCATACGTCGTGGACCAACCAAATGCGACTCGTGTTATTCTGTCAAGGCAGGAACATCAGATTACAATATCAAATTAATTCGAAGAATCAGTTACTTACCGCTAATTTTCGTAAAACTTCAGAATGGAGTGATTTGTAAAATTTTTTGGCGGTCTGGGCTGCCCAGGTCGGAGATCTCATGTCGGCATGAGGATTGGCCAATTTGAAAGCGCTTCGAAGCATCACGTCAGAAAATCGTTGCCAAGCCAGGGCGTGTCGTATCACCCAGATCACCAAGATGACATTAAGCATCTCAACCGTGAAAGCTGGTCGGTCAATAAAGGACTGCATCATCTTGCCACTTGCCGTGGCAGCTTGTTTGGCTTTCTGCTGTTGCTGATAAGTGGCAGGAAGCCGTAAACCGGACTTGATTGCCTGCTTACGTCCTGAGCAAGGCCGTCGATCCTTATCGCCATCGCGATGAGCATAAAGGTTATCATTCGATTTGACCCCGCGAGTGTAGTATTCACCACACCAGTTGCATGGGTAGTACCGCTTGAAAGGCCCTGTCTTTAGATAGAAAAAGGAAAAAGATTCAATCACAAAAGAAGATGTTCAGACTAAAGTGAAAGAAAGACTCACCTCCCCGTCTTTGTGCTTTGGCGTTCCAAAATACTTAAGAAGTTCCACAACATCGCCCTTTTTCCCTGGCCTTTTTTCGGTTTGGTCATCTTCAGATGAGTCCTGGTCGACATCGACTACGGTAGAGGCCTCTTGGTCCTTTGTTGCCTAACAATCGCACCAGCCAAAGAGGAAAGTTCAATCTACAATCTTGATAGATCAATATGAATCAATATAAGTAATATTAACTCACTTTTGATTTGCTGACCGTTTTCTTCTTCTTCAAAACCATTTTATTGGTTTCATTACTGTCAGGACCAGTAACTTCGTCACGAGTTCATTTTCTAGATACCGGTTGAGTCTGAGGGATTGAAACAGGTGATTTGTTAGGGTTCTTGGTGGCAATAGACAGCCTGCGTCGAGAATCCGACCCGGTGAACACAAAACCAGGTGATGGTTGTTGAGGTGAGCGAGGTCTTAGTTCGCGAGCTGGTGTGGATTGGGGAATTCGAAGTGTCGCAGATGATACCTGAGAATTGGTTGCAGAAGTAGAGATCGAATCCATCATGGAGAAGGGGTCTTTGAAAACTTTGATAGTGTTCTGATTAAACGAAAGATGGATTTGGGTTGAAGTTGAAGAGAAAGGCTTTTGAAATCGATTCGTTAAGAAAAGTTTCGAAACAGGGAATGGGAAGAGATACAACTGGCACTGGGTAAGAAATTGGAAAGGGGGAATGAAGCGGAACTGTCAGAGGTGGTTTGGTTGCGTTTTCGATATACCAGATAAAAAAACTCACCCTGTTTCGGCCCATCTTGACTTCCTTCCCCATTTGGAAGGAATCTTGAGGAAATCAAACGACGAGAACGCTCTAGAGAGGGACTACTACAGCCAAGGGGTGTTGAACTTTGATGGAGTTGATCTGAGCGCCTCACTGGGACCCAGGGTTCCCCCTGGGGTCCCGAAAAACGGACAGCGGCGGGGTCGGACCCCAGGAATAACCGCGGTCCGGCGCGGGGCAACCCCAGTGACCTCAATCACGACTGAGCCTGCGGGGCGACCCCAGCGCTATCCCCGCGCTGCCGCAGTTTACAGCGGGGGGGTTTGCGCGTTGCTGGGATGCAGCTTACATTCTTGAGATGCATGTCTGTACAAGCTCTTTTGGTGCTTGTGTCTGCGGGTAGTGGTGTCTCCCAGTGTCTACTCGGTACTTAGTCTCTTGTTTGTCTCTCGGTCGTCTATTGTCTCCCGTGAAGACTGATACGCTTACGCTCCCGCAGGCCCAGGCGCGAAAGTGTCAAGCCCCTGTCCCGCCAATTTCAGCCATGATGCTCCTCATGAGTCCTTATCAGCAGAGGTTCGTTCTCCCAAGTAGGGATTGGTTATAACAGCCTGCTCGAAATAAGACAAAACGACCAATTTATCTGCCGAACAGCTGGCTCGGATTTGATTGATTCCTCATAAGCCGCACTACCAGCTATTTCAATGTACATATCTTCTTGGGTATATTTCCGATGAGGACTAAATAATCTCTCTGAGTCATACTCTCGAAATAGCCTTCATTGAAAGAGCCTCTGTTCCTGATTTTGGCTGGAGTGTCATGCTATGATTCAAAGGCTTCTGCGAAGGAAGGCGTCGGTGTTGAGGTTGAGTTGCAATTCGTCAGAGAAAGGACAGCGTCTCCGCAGTAATCACAGGAAAGGTCCAGTCCACCTGCTTGTCAAAGCGAAACGGCAGGTGTAGGTTGAATGAGTTCAAAGACCACTAAGAGATTAGAAAAACGGTTAATCTCTATGAAAATCAACATCAACTGATCATGCGTACCTTTTATTTGAAGACTTTAATAATGAAATCAATCAAACTGTCATCAAAATTAAATTATGGTGTTTTTAATCAGTCATTCGCATCATCAATGGATCTTGTTATAAGTTCATCAAGTTGGTCAAGTTGGTTGTCTTCCCATTGATCTCTGACATTTACAATATATCGTTAACTTTTCATACTTCCTAAACTTTAACCTCTCATATCAAAACTTGACTCTATTCCAAAATGTCACCACAAAATTATTCATCTTCTCAATTCTCAAGAGCTGTATGTGATTTATATCTTGATGGTTTGGTAATGATGACCTCTTTAGACTTATTTTGTTCGTTTTGTTTCTTTTGGTTTTTGGATTAGACGATCTTCGATGATGAGGTGAGGAGTAAGAGAACCGCTTTGGATTTAGATCGTCCCAGTTTACCTGTAAGTCGATTTCATTTTCCGATCTGGTTCCATGACTGAGCTTTTTAATCTTGATTGTCGAATCATTAGTCGATTCTCCCTAGTCAAGATAATGGCCACATCTTGTCATCTTTTCGGCTGGTGAGTCAACCGACTTTTTAATTATCTTTGAAGTTGTCTCCTTGAATGTTAATTGATGTTTCTTTCCATTAATCATTTTACAGAAGATCAAAAATGGAGTCTCAAAACTCAAGGTATTCTATAGGTCTTCACCTTCGAATCAAAAACAAAAAAGGAACACAGTAAACCTAGTAAGTACCAACATATCTCTACATTCGTTCGCCATACCAAGCGATCATAGAGTTTACAAGATGACTTTGTTGACATCATTTTTCATCACCTTCATCTTTAGGTGGTCTTGACTTCGGATCAAAAATCTCGAAGATCATATAATACGGTTTCTAGCTCGAATGAATCAGACGAGGAAGGTTCAAGTACCCTGAAAAGCTCATGTCCAATGATGCTCAAGGTACCTGAACCTGTCCTCAGATCCATAAAAGAAGAAACCGAAGAGAAACGAAAACTTCAAGCTCTTGAATATTTAGAAAGAGCTAGAGAACAATTAAAAAGACATTATCAAGTTGATGTTCAACATCTTTCGATTGATTGTGATTGTAAAACAAAGGATGAAGAACCACTTTGGCAAGCTGAATTAAGGCAACATCGTTGGATATCTTTTTTGAAGGAAAAAGAAGTAGAAGGTTTAGAATTGAAGGTTAGACAAGAAACACTTTGGGATATACCTGAAAAGGTTCCTTTTGTTCATTTTGAATGAACATTTTAGGAATCGGTGTTTAACTTTTGATGATATATCCTTTAAAATCGACTTGATTCCTTATCATGTTTTACTTGTACTTTTCTATGTTTTCTAGTTTACCTTGAATACCATCTGATTACACTTCTTGTTTTCTTTTCGTTTTTCGGTTTTCTGTGTTACTATGAATCATCACTTTTTCAACTTTTATCAGTAAATCAGAGTTTACAAATATAACCCGCATCGTTTTGTAAGTTGTGGGAACATGTAACACGTAGAGCTCAACATTGATTGACCTTACAAACTTAATGTGAGCAAAGTACCATATGAGGGTGAATATAGGCAGAGAGGTGAATATGGTCAACAAGAGTGCATATGGTCGATGAGAAAGTATTTCGGACAATGGTCAACACCTCCATCGGTTCTATTCACACCATCCATGCGAGTAGATCAGGCTCGCTCCAGTCCAGAGCAGATGAACTTGTACTAGCACTGGCATCAGATCGCATGGAAACATCAGGATTCCGATTTCCAAGAAGTAATATTCTTCGTTACACTCGTACTAAAACAAATCCCTCAATCTCTACAACCCACTAGACTACAAATCTGTAACATTCTTCTTCTCTTCCATCCCTCTTTACGGAAGCTCCTTTTACCGATCATCAATCCATAGTTCATCAACACCCCCCCCAGAAATTAAAGAGTTCTTGATTCGTGCCATGAGTCAAGAATTCATAATGCCACACTTTAGTTTCTATGACAAATCTTTGTCTCGATCAGCCTCTATCAATTGGCGTGAGAGAAGATGTCATGACGAATTCTTGTCTTCTGCGATCTTCTTGCTTTACATCTTCTTGCGACATTTTTTTTGTGGAATCGTGGTGTCTTGAGAGTACAACAATAAATTTTACCTTTATAAGAGCAGGCTTGAATGAGGGTTTCCGGTCCTTTCCCTCAACGTTTCTCAATTCTGGTTTTTGGAAATTGTTCAACTTCCTACTTTAACGATTTCATTTCTTTTAATTGATACATTTCGTTGATCGAAATCTTTTAATCTTCTTTTTGTTAGGTTTCAAAGTATACATCGTTGTTAATTTTTGTTGATTCATCATCATCATCATCATCCTTGAAGATTTTCTTTGAAACTTATTTGACTTCCTACATAAACACAAAAAAACTAGATAAAGATGGGTTTAACTTTCAAAACGAATTTATTTTTTGTTTTAATTTTTTTCTATTCAAGTTTCATTTATCAAAGTATTTCAAGTTCATCAAGTATCGTCAATCCAAAGTTTCATAAACGAACATCGATTCATGAAGCTATGATTCTAAAAAGAGAAGATAAATCGAATCTAACAGGTCCAAATCAAAACCTAACAACTGGAAACGGATTAGATTCAAATTTCACTGGTAGCGGTGGTACTACTCAGGATGGTAATGATTATCAAAACTTAAACGATGATCAAAATCTTACTCAATCGGATAATGGAAACTCAAATTTAACGGATGGCAATGATACTAAATCCAATCATACTTCGATTCCTAATTCTATTAATTTCCCGGGTGAAGAAGGAAAACCTGAATGTGAAAGTGGTGGTGAAAAATTAATTGAACATGATTGTAATCGGTTTGTCTTTTTAGTTTTAATCAAACTCGATGTCTTCTGGTATATTGATTGTTTCTTTTTTGAATTTTAGTGCTTTGCTTGCTCTTGGAACTGGAATTGCTGGTAAGATTAAATTCTTGAGGGTCAGTAATGACACAGCTACTGGAACGTTTAAAACTTGTAAAGTAAGTCTTTTGATCAAATCTGTAGAGTCTTGGGATATAATCTGATATCGACTCATTTGATCTTAATACAATTTAGGTTACTGTGCAAAGTCTGGATGGTAAACCAGTCCATGTGTAAGTCAATTGATTTTTCAAAATCACATGTGTCTAGATTATTTTTTTCTTATTTTTTTGCTTTGATTTGCAAATAGTTCAAAAGGAAGATTAGAACATGGACCTGGATATGTTGATTTTATGAAGATTTGTAAAGGACAAGTGAGTGAAATTTACTTTGTTCACTGATTTCCTGTCTCTTCTTAAAGTTTGGTAAAAGTCAATTTGGATCTGATATATAATTTTCTTTGTTTCGTAGCCTGGTACTATGATCTTAGGTGGAGGTGAATTTGGAATGACAATTGAATCTTCTGAATGTGATGGTCAATAAAAGTATTTAGATTTTCCTTTTCATCAATCTTTTTTTCAACTCTTTACTTTCAATTTCTCAGAAATATAGACTTTGCTTTTCTTCAGGTTTTCATTTTGATTAATAAAAGATGTTTGACTTCTGTTTTTTTGCTTGAAGAAGTTGAGATCTTTTTGTCAGTGGTAGAGCTTGAAAATGTCGCGTCATTTTTTGCTTGAGAGGTCTAGAAGCCAAACTTACCAGAAGTGGAGATTGAGACACAAATTTTCTTTGTCAACAAACAAGTGGGTAACAATAGTGGTGTGGCTAGACTTGTGTGAAACACTGACACCTAGTAAGAGTGATATCTTGAAGAAGAAAGTTACCAAGAACATCGTACCGAAACTTGCCCATATGCTTCCTGTGTTAGCTGCTGCTAAGCGATGCTGCTGTGGCGAACTGCTAATAATCATGAAGGGTTACCCACGTCCTTGTGTCATCAAACCCCACCTTCGAGGCGTTTTCCTGTCTCCGTTAATGAACTCTAGATGAAAGGATATAGTTCGGAACATTGTATGTCGAATAAGTGGTCAATTTCAAGGGTAAAAAGGTCGCATTTGGTACTCCGGTGGCCAGTCTGTCTGAAGTGCATGTGGGTAACAGGGTTTTCGAACCAAGTAAGCAATACTCATAATTACTTTCGTCCGAGTATCATCCTCAATACCAGTTACTAAATGAAGTGAGTCTGATTCTTTCCTCAACGTGGGTTCTCCTGGGAAGATGAAGTAGGGAGATCCCGACTTGAACAGCCGTGGTTTGATGCCGATGACTTAGATGCTCCATCAAGGCCACTAAGGCAGTAGACCCATGTTACTTTCTTCAACAGGGTATTCTTCTGATGACAGGCCTGACTGTTGGGACAAAGGACATCACGTTGCTCACTGGTGCTTTTAGTGCAAATTGAACACCACTTTCAAACCTATAAAAAGTCACAGGTATGTTAATCTTTTACCATCATCATTCCACATCATCTCTTTCCAAGCAACAAGCATAGTTCTTTTGTTTTCGCATCACTTTACTTCTTAGTACCTGGCTGGACTATATCATTCGAACTTCTTTTTTGATTGTTGATAACATCTGTGATAAATTTTCATCCAACTTGAAACACCACCTACTTCGTCTCCATTACAAAAATGCTTTCCATCTTTTCTCTTGTCACCGTCGCTATCTCTGCCTTTGCTATGCTAGAGGGAGCAACAGCTGGTGCCGTGCAAGCAAACTCCAAGTATGCAACCTCTTCTGTCATACATCTCTAATAATCCATCCACTGACCCCTTCTTCCACGGTGTAACAGTGTGATGTACAAACGTCAATCTGACTGGTTCGCTTCATCGAATGAAGCTACAGGCAAAAGGTATGTCATACACATTTATAGAGTCCAAGTTTCAAATCCTCCATTCTGACTGAAATACTTGACTCTTCAGCTTCGAGAAACGCATGATGGGAGTCGGACAAGTCGGACAACAATCACAACAACAACAAAAAGTTCCACCTTTTCTGGTCAACATCATCATCAAAAGGCTCTCAGCGGATTTGGCTGACACCATTGCTAAATACTCAAAAGTCGCAGAAGCTGGTAAAAAGATGCCAACTAGCGGTGAGCTTACTGCCGCCTTGAAGAAAGCGATGAAAGAAGGAGGCGACGATCCTGTGGCTCATGCCCAAGCGACCAAAGCGGCTATTGATGGTCTTGCTGAAAGCAAGCTTTCTGGATCCGACTCCGCTCCAAAGACTGACTCCGCTCCAAAGACTGACTCCGCTCCAAAGTCTGACTCCGCCCCAAAGTTAGTTTCTTGTTTTATTTTGACTTGAATCTTTAACTCATCTGTTGAATTGTACACTATCTTAGGCTCAGTACTCGTCAAGAAATGACTGCTTCAACTTCGGGTTCAACAGCTGAAGCTCCTAAATTCAAAGATTCTGATGTCCGAAGATTTGCCAATGGATTCTTGAAAATGGTCAAAGCATTTGCCGAAGCTAAGATGGCTGGTGGAAGTTTACCTACTGCTGAAGAAATCGCTCAACTCCTTCATCGTCTACAACAAACTCTTGACCAAAGTGACCAACGCAAAAGTGCTCGTGCCACTCACGAGGCTTTCATGGAACTTGCTGCCAGCAAGTTTCCTGCCGGCAAGAAGCCCTCCTTCGACACCAAGGCTTCTAGTGATTCAGACTCCAAGACATCCGATGCCTCGTCTACCAAGTCAGCTGATAGTGATCCTACCGCCACCAAGAAGCCAACCACCTCCACTGCCGCCAAGAAGCCAACCACCTCCACTGAAAAGCCTGATGCCAAAACTACCACTGACCCTGTAGACACCCAAACCACAGGCCAATGAGCTTGATTGCTTTCACACTCTTTTGACTCAATCACATGAATCGTCGATTTGACATCGATTTGATGATTCCCTTGTTTTCTCTGATCTCAATTTTCATCTACTACTGTCTTTTAGGATTTCTTTTGCTGCATCTCGACATGTTCTCATTACCTTTTCTTTATCTGTAAGATTTGTAAACCCGACCCAAAACTCACAAAAAAAATGTTTTCTTCTATCACTGTACGATCTGATGATCAAGAAAAAACTGGTGTGCAATTTGTAGCAAAATGTAGTTCTATGTACAATTGAAATTCTGTGTTTGAAAATGCAAAAGAATGACAACTGCTTATACCCAAAGAGTTACCCAAACTATTCATTCACGTTTTAAGGTTCACAATTGCACTGCCTGTGGAGAACATGAATATTTATTGGTCTCCTCAAACTGAAAAACTGATTCATAGAAGATAATATACCCATACCACCAGATTATGGTATCTTTGCCACTTGCTTGAGGCATCATATGCGTAGTTTCTCCAATGCTATATCGACGAACCATTCTTGACAATCGACGACGAAGACCGAGTGACCCGTTGAGCTTCAATAACTTGCATACCCCAGCATAAGGTTTAGATGCAAATATCTAAAGTTGATTGAATTGTGTGCTTACGGTGTAACCCAATCACAAACATATCAAGACCTCCACAGAAAATAATTCAAGTTGTCTTTCAGAAACCACAAGGGTGTGAATATGAATTGTCAAAAAAACTTTCACAAATCTTCAGACTCGCGAGATCAAGATGTGTTGAGCTTCTGTCGAGGCGTGGCAAAGGAAGGATATTCTTGCCGGAATAAGGGCAATTTCAATAATTCAAAAACTTATATACGAAGATATCCAATTTGATCCTGAATAAAATGAGAACAACAAAGAACAAGAGATGGAAATAAAAAGATGGAACTAAAGAGATAAAACTAAAGAGATAAAACTAAAGAGGAGTTACAAACGTGAACTAAATTATCAATTGATTGCTAACTTGAAGACTAAGCTGTTTGGATTAATCACACTAGGAGATCTAATACAAGAAATCACCAAATGGAAAAAAAAGAAAGTCAAACCATAGAATCAGAAACTACTACAGAAGTGAGTAAGAAATCCAGATTGAGATGCTTATAGGAAATTCTCTAGAACAAGAAGACTTGCAACGATCGAATATGAGAAATAAGATACCTAAATGCAATGTTTTTTTGTACTAGCACTTTTCTACATAGAAATTAATCTTCATACATCTGTAAAGGATCAAATCAGGGCGAGAGACTCTAGCTGCGAGGTTTATTAGATCTGGGATGAATCCAAGTTCTTCAACCAATCCGAAACAATAGATTTGTCGCCAAAGACTGGGTGATCAAGCTCTTGAAGTTGAGCCCATTTCTCGAGTGCGACTTGCGTGATTGGTGTCGTGCCCTTTAAGTCGCCTGTTGATTCTCCGAATTTGCCTTTTAACTTAAAATCGTTCACCTCAACGATGTCCTCGAAGCTCAAAGAGTGGCTCGCAAGCGAGGCCACTGAACATCCAGTGTCGTCCATCCAGCTTTTCTCTCTCTCTTGTTTGGAGTGATTGGAAGCAGATGTAGAGATCCCAGAGATAGGTAACACTCTAGTAGAAAGTGACGTAGAGGCTGGATCAAGTTGAGGCTCATTGTTGACTTGTTCCTTTGATCTCTCAGATGATGATGTGATAGGATTAATGGAAAATTTAGCATGCCATTCTTGTCCGATGGCCGATAATTGCTGAGCTTGAGCGGCCAAGATTCTTTCGAGTGCATCAGATGTGGCACGACTTCGATTGGTAGACGTTGTGGGTGATAATCCAGGAGCAGGTTGTGATGAGAAAGAAGTGTCGGGTAAAAGATGAGTATCAGATTGATCTGATGAATCGGAAAGCCCATCCAACGATCGACCATCGTAAGGTGTAAAATCTCCATCTTGAGCCTCGATGAGCTATCACACCAAGACAAGTTTGCAACATACTTCAGCAAACGTATTAATGAACAAATAATTAGTGGCACGGAATCTAGGACTCACGAAGTCTGGTAGTGGGAGTGGCGGGAAGTCAGCCATTGAATCTTGTAGGTGGTTGAGTTGATGAGTCGAATTTGAAAGTCTGTTGGAGCACTTTCATGTAAGTTTGGATCCGGTGCACACACAAGAAGAGAAAGAAAGAATTTACTGAACTCACGGTTTGGAGTGTGTTGAGTAGGAAGTCAATTGTTGAGATGATCAGAGACTGAGTGAAGGGAAGGAAGAATCAAGGGATTTGGGATTTAGAATTTGATATACTTTTGATCAAAACCGTCTCGTGCGTTCAAAGCTAAGTAATCCATCCTGCACAGAGCTAAGATTGATGATTATGTTGATTGAGATGTTTGCCCTGAGCCGTTTCTTTCCAAGTCCAAAATCAAATATGTAGAATGAGTCAGTTTGATGAGTGTAATTTCTCTCTTCTTGATCGAATCTGCCAAGAGTAAAGACCAGTTGAGGAAACTCAGCATACAGTATGATTTTGGTCACTTTCGTGAGGCAAAGGAAACAGAGCTTTAGGTAGCCACTTTCCTTGACCATCATGATGACCGCAGGAAATAGTTTGCCAGAATCAAGGATGAATCGAAATCGAACTTGAAGAGTCAAATCTTATACTGGGGGACGGTCACGGAAGATGTGGCATGCGAGTATTGGAAAGGAGCAGCGCAGAATGGAGATGCAGAGTCGCATTGAGCATTTCCCGGCAAGTATTGCCCTTACATATTGGTATCATCAAACAACAAATGAAGTAAAGTATGCCAAAAACGTGCACCTCTATAAAGCTTCGTTTGATGCTCATTCCAAGTGTGCGATTCAGGATTTACAAGAATTGTGAACTGCAGACGGAAATATGACATGACTGAAAAAGAAGACTCCACTGTGGATCACAACAACTCCAGTTAGAGAGTTCAGAAAACCACACAGTTGAACCTGAAATCATCAGATAGTCTCTTTGGGTTCCTTGAGCCCTGAAGTGATCTGCTAAAACAGTTTGCACACACTTGGTCCGTTCATTCGGGACTTTCAAGGGTGCTGAGGTGATAGCAAACGAAAACTGGGTAAATTTCCCCTCGTTGGTTCAAAGGTTATAGAAGAATCAAAGTTAATCTCTTTGATCGACTTGAAAAGATAGAGGAGATCTGCTTCTCGCCTTTGATGGTAACTTTTTGTGGCTGAGGGATAAAATCGATCATCGCCAAGTCATTATTTGCAAATCAGGCATTTCACTTTACAAGGTGTACTTCATTGATCCGATTAATCACAACATTTGGCTTCTTCATCTTTACATAATTGTTCTAGTTTTGATTCTGAATATCTTGTGAAAAGAGTATGCACTCGTGCTGAGAAGGCTTCTTCATTTCTGTGTTTTTGTCTATAAAAGGTGCTTGCACTCTGGAATGTTAATCACCATTAACATGGAAAGGACTTGTGACCTTCCATTGATCCTTATGCTCCCCTCAAAGCCTAATGGTATCTACTCTTTTATTCTACATCTGACTGGAGAGCAATTGAAGAATCAACACTTGCCCTCTTTCCCCCACTTCATAGTCTCACACCAAATGATGTTTCATTTACATAAATTGTACATACTTCTATGATCCAACCCTCCTGTGAGGGTATCCCTAGTCCTACCGGTGCTCCCTCCACTTCAGCGGATCCAACCCTTAAATCAAAATCAAAGTACTACCCGTTGTTGTTCACTACGTACTCTGCTAGCTGAGATTGCAGTGCATTCCGATAAAGGGATCAATCAGTTTAGCTATTTGTGGGGCCACGATCACTTTATAATTTTCTTGCGTACATAGTTTGTTTTAGGTACATACATATGGATGTCTCTTTTTAAATATAGAGCCCCACGCAATTTGCTTGGTTGGACAAACAAACATGCTCTTATCCATAGAAGTTTCGTTTCTTTCTGAAGTGATCCTCTGAGAAAGCATGAAGCTGATGATGAAGAGAGAAGTATGAAACTTGAAATTGCGTTTCAAAAGGTATCGGTTGCGTCATTTTGATGAAACTGGGTTGAGTTTTTTCCGGAGTTTTAGTTTTAGTCGAACAGCTTTAAATTCAAAGTCTGTCTGTCTCTCTCTGTCTTTTTCTTTTTTTTCTTTCTCCACTTGACTCCTTTCACTTCACAACCAATCTCCTATTCTCAACTTTTAACAAGATTTTCAATTTAACTCGATAATCTCAAGGTCGCCGGTCCTTTCAAAACGTTGCTTCTTCAGCATTCATTCAATCATCATCAACCTCTCTGATCTAAGTACCATCAACTTTCAACCTTCAAAATCTCACAATCACACAAAATGGCAAACAATCACCATCGATCAATTTCACCCCTATCTGCTTCAGTAGTCTCGACTGCTTCTAGTGCTCTACGTTATCCTCGTTCAGCTCTTGGATACCGATTCTCTACCCTCTGTACTACTGTCGATAATCCTGACGCTGATCATAAAGATCGTCACGGATCATCTAGTGTACCAATCTATCAAACTGCTACTTTTAAAGGTATGGGAGGAGCTTACGATTACAGTCGAAGTGGGAATCCCAGTCGTACTTTTCTTGGTCAGTTTTCAATCTCCATAACATCACATATAGTCACATCATCATACTGACTTTCATTTGATTTCTTTCGTATTTCGGGCACTCGAAACTCCAGAACACCATATTGCCAAAATCTCAGGAGCTAAACATGCTTTTGCAGTCACATCTGGAATGGGAGCTCTAGATATAATCTTTAGAACATTAAAACCAGGAGATGAAATCATAGCAGGAAATGACTTGTATGGAGGCTCTAATCGATTATTAACCTATTTAAAAGAACATGGAGGAATTATTACACATCATCTTGATACCACTAAAATCGAAACGATTCAACCATTCTTGAAATCAGATAGTAAAGTGAAAATCGTCTTACTCGAAAGTCCAACCAATCCTTTATTACAGATTGTAGATATAGAAGAAATTTCAAAACAAGTTAAAGCAGTGATGCCCAATACATTAATAGTAGTAGATAATACGATGATGTCACCTTATTTAATGAGACCATTGGAATTCGGTGCAGATCTTGTTTATGATTCAGGTACTAAATATTTAAGTGGTCATCATGATTTAATGGCAGGTTTAGTGATTTGTAATTCAGATGAACTTGCACGACAAATCGGATTTGTGATCAATAGTATTGGAAACGGTTTAGCACCTTTTGATTGTTTTTTATTATTAAGAGGTGTTAAGACTTTGGCCATCCGATTAGATCGTCAACAAGCTAGTGCGATCAGAGTAGCTCATTATTTAAATCAGTTAGGTTTCAAGGTTAATTATCCTGGACTTCCAAATCATCGTGGAAAAGATATTCATGATCGATTGGCTAAGGGTCCGGGTGCTGTTCTTAGTTTTGAAACTGGTGATAAAGAGTTGAGTGAAAAGATTGTTAGTTCGGCTAGGTTATGGGGTATTAGTGTTAGTTTTGGATGTGTGAATAGTTTGATCAGTATGCCATGTCTCATGTCGTAAGTTGATGTTCTCTTTTGGGCTTGATTTGTACCCTCTTACTTACCTACTTTTGTTTTCCCAATCAATTGTTGTACACAGTCACGCTTCTATCGACCCAGCCGTTCGAGCAGCACGTAATTTACCCGAGGACTTGATTCGACTCTGTGTTGGAATAGAAGATTGTGATGATCTTCTAGAAGATCTTGAATCGGCCTTAATAGAAGCTGGAGCGATCCGAACGATTGATGAATCAGCAGTCGGTACTGGTTTGGAAAGAGTGATGAACCGAAGTGATTCGATTGAATCCCAAACCGGATCCCAAATCGTGAATGCTGATGAAGAAGGACCAGCACAAGCCGCAGTATCTTCTCTTCTCCGTTTGGCTCCTTCTACCATCCTTGTTTCTGCTCCTGGTAAAATCATCCTTTTTGGTGAACATGCAGTAGTATACGAGAAAAAAGCATTAGCAGCAGCTATAGATTTGAAGTGTTATTGTTTAGTTGAACCATTAGAAGAAGAAGAAGATCAAGTTAAACTCGTCTTACCTGATTCAAATTTAACGATTTCTTGGAACTTGAATCAATTACCATGGCAATCAGTTCCAAAGCTTAATGGAACGGGTGAATTGAAAGTGGACAAACAACTTTCTGAAGCTATACTTCAACTTGTGAAAGAAAAAGTAGAGAAACCTAATTTAGTTGAAGCGGCTCATGCTTTTCTTTATCTGTTTGTACATCTAGCCGTTTCTGAGAAACGGTAAGTATTTTTTTACATTTTTCTAATCATCTCAACCTCTTACCAAACTTTATACTGATATATCATTTCTTAAAACTAGACGTGCACAAGTGTATACCGTTCGTTCAGCTTTACCCATTGGTGCAGGATTAGGTTCATCAGCAGCATACTCAGTTTCATTATCAACTGCATTACTCTACACTCATGCCCATCTCCAAGTACCAACCTCTGCCTGTATTGACACGGCTTCAGCAGCTATGATCAATCAATGGGCATTCCTAGGAGAGAAAATCTTACATGGAAACCCATCAGGAGTCGATAATACAGTTTCGACGTATGGAGGAGCGATCGGATATAGAAAAGGACCCGAAGGATGTCAAGAAAGATTAAATGGATTTAAAGCATTAGGTTTTTTAGTCACTGATACTCAAATCAGTCGAGATACAAAAGCATTAGTGAAATCAGTGGGAGATCGTAAAGTACAAGAACCTGATTATATTACATCAATTTTACAAGAAATCGATCAAATCACTCATCTAGCTGAAGAAATCCTTTTAGATGAAAAAGAGATTGAAAAATCTGAAGATGGCTTAGGTGGATTGATGGTGAAGTGTCATGAGTTATTAGTTTCACTTGGGGTTGGTCATCAGGCTTTAGATCAGGTTTCTTTGGTTGGTAAACGGTTTGGTTTGAAGAGCAAATTAACGGGTGCAGGTGGTGGTGGTTGTGCTATTACTCTTTTACCCTCTGGTAAGCTCTTTCTTTGTTTATCTTTTTGGGTTTATAAAATTGAGAAATCGGGTTTCTTTTTTAGCGTTTTCTAAGACAGATGAAGTGATGAATGAATTAAATCAAAACGGATTTAAAGCTTATCGTACTAAAGTAGGAGGTAGAGGTGTTGGAATTAAAGTTGATCGAATTTTGACTCGTCAAGAAGATTTCATGAAGAAGAGCGATGAAAGATTAAAGATTGATGTACTTGAAGGCAAAGGAGAGGATTGGTTCTTTGTGAATTGATTTAATTTGTTTGGGGACAAAATAGATCTAAGATTAGATTTTGAACTTCAAACATGAAGGGTTTTTAGAAAAAAGAAGGATCATGATTTGTTTTTTTTGTATTGTTTAGAGAAGGAATTGATAGGTTTATGACTTGATGTTTTATGAACTTATCATTTTGATGATGATCATGATCATGATGCAATTAGAGTTTTTTGGTTTGAGGTAAAGTTGAAATACATTTTTAAGAATATGTATAATATATCATCTTGGTAAGAAAAATAAGTTTTGTTGATCAAGAAGTTTAAATGACTATCTTTGTTGAGTTTAGTTTTTGATGTTGTACACTTTTGTACATGCTTTTCTTGATTTTTTTTGGAATTCCTCATGGTCACTGACTTGAATTTGACAAACTTCTCTTGAGGGGCTTGGAAGATTTCATTTTTTCTAACAAAACTTGGAGGTAGATTAGCTAGCATAATAGCTATGGTACACTCCTGTCATTCTGGGGATAATGCAGAAAAAACATGTCAAGACCTTGTACCTTGGCATCTCACAATAAACAAAAGACAAGTTGATGTTTCCTGATATTTCCATGTCATGGACTAGTTATTGAGACATTTTTGTGAAGGTCTTCTGATGTACCTACGTATCCCATTTCATTTTAAATATACCCCGTGTTTACAATTGCGAAGGCATACAAACAAGTAGAGATTGATCATGTATACAAGCGTTCAAGACAAGATTTCAAGCAGATACAAGTCAGCCATTAGATGTATGGACTGTAAGTAAAATCAACTTGGGTAAAACAGACGAGAAACAAATCCTACGGAAGATCCTGACCAAGAACAGAAGATAAAGAAAAAAAGAAAAACAAAAATCATGGATAATTTAATAAAAACAAATCGCAAGAAATCAACTTCACAAGAAAAAAGGTATCCTAAATTTCTCGTATCTTTGTATACTTTAATTCCTAATACAATTACATTTTTCAGAACAATATGAATGTCCACTTTGACAATCAGCAGGTGGACCAGCACAACTCATAAAAAAACCACCAGCAGCGCAATATCCATAGTCAAAACAACTGAAATCCACAAAAAACAACAGAAGGAATTGATGACCATGAATTTTGATTAGTTTCAGTTTCGTGTTTTTTTTTCAGAAAGATAAATAACTTACCCTGCTGGATTTTGAACTTCTGGATCACATGAGAGTCTGTAAGTTTGAGCTATCGCAGTAGCAGTCGCAGATAAACTGATTACAATCATCTTTAAAAAGGTTGATGATAACATCTTTAATGAACATAAAAAGTAAAGAAAAAATCAGATGGGACTAAATTGAATGATAATATTGATCTATTCAAGAGTAGCTCTCTACAGCTCTCTACTCACTTTGATGAGATTTAAATTCGAGTTGATAGAATTCTTTAGAATGTTTCTTCGTAAGATTTATTGAGTACGTTGAGGAATTGTTTGAAGAAATATGATTGAAATGCTATAGAAAGGTAAGCCTTTATACCTTTTGACTATTGCCAAGTTACAAGTTCGTACTATAAAACTCTCCTACTTGAAAAAATGGAGCTTTACCTCTCATCTTTCTCATGAAACCATGGAAATCGGAGCTGTGAACATACTGTGACGCCAAGACGTGATAGGGCTTTCTCCTCAATTATTGAAATGGGATTCCCCAAGAGATAAGTCGGCTAGAACCCATTGCTGTGACTAAACACGGCAAAGTATGTCTCGATGATTTCAGTTATGAATATCGAATCGTACTTTTCAGTGCAACGATCAATGCTTGGCAATCAGGATATCATTGTATGGATCTCTCTTCACAGTAAATCAAACGATTGCTCATTAAGGTTTTCCAACGGGTCGCATTCGTATCAAGATCAATATCTTGAGTAGATCGTCAATCTATTTATGAATCGATATAGCACTCTTTAAGTTCTCATTTCTGATGTCGGAAGTTTGTCTTTTGATGAAATCCAAGAAAATAACGAGCACCTGACTTATGAGCCAAGAGATGCTTACCCAATTTGTTTTCACAGTAAATCAACATGTTTTCATTCCAATCTTTTGACCTCATCACAGCGATATGAAGTCAATCTTAATTTGAGTTATTTTACTCGATGGGATGATGAAATGTCTTTTACATATACGGCAACGAGAGCAACAAGCATCGGAAAAGCGGAACGCTATCAAGCCATGAAAGCCAAACAACAATCATAAAAGGTCTAGCAGATGCATTTCAAAAGATGTGAAATGCAGGGTCATAAGAAGGCATGAATGTCATTGGAGCCTGAGGATCCTCTTAGTCCTCTTCCTTCCATATTTCTCAACTTTGTGAAAAGAAAAAACTTGACAAAACCAACAGTATGAGTTTTGCATAGGAGAGAATAAATCAAGCTTTCTTGGAAGGGATGTGTATGTGATAGGTTAACTTGAATTGGATTATCTTGTTAATCATCTTTGGAAGAGATCAAATTGAATGTAATCTATTCTAGTTTACCACTTGATAATCAAGAAATCATTCTAAATTGACCAATCATTAAAACTTGTCATGTAAACCATACCTTCTTGACTGATTATCTTCACATCAGACTATGAGTTGTTTTTGAATTGCCTGAAATCTTTTTACACTTTACAAACTTGATCAGATATACATTATTTAAGAAACCTTTATAAACCTAAGAACACGGTCAATAATTCTTATCAAAAGGAATTCCTGTTAATCTCTAGACAATTTTTTTCTTATTTGTTTGGTTTAATCTTATTGTAACTGCTTTTGTTAAAGAACCAACAAGTTTCTATAAACTGTCAAAAGAAATCATCTTGAGTTCAATCTCTTGGATAAAGAATGTACATGAATGGAAAGAAAAAAATCTAACCTTTTTTAAATGTACCATCAAAACTTGAAGAAAGTAAAAAAAGAAGAGATCAAATTGAATAATTTGAAAGATGAATAGAGAAGAAAAACCAAGGATTTGATTACAAGAGCTCAAGAAATCAATCACTCCTTTTTCTTTGGATTTTAATAAAATCTCCAAGCTTTATCTATACTCTATCTTTTTGGCACTGATGATGATGTATTAATCTTGAAGAGTGGTATACGTTTGATATAACAAATGTTTTGATTCCTGAAGAGTTTCAACCTTGATGAGTTTGAACACTTTAGCCAACAACTTTGATCACTTTAGCCAAAATCAACACTGATTTCACTTCTTTTTCCCTACTTGAATCTTCCATCAATTCAATTGTTTGCCAAATCAAACAAACCAATCTTCCCAAGCCAATCTGATCCATCAATGAAAGTAATCAGGCCTAGAGATACTTTGACATGGTGGGAGTAGAAAACTGTCACAATAGAAGGAAGAAGACATCATAAGACCTTACATAAGACCTTATATTGACGGTCAACATTTAAACAAAACACTAGCCCGTTCAGCGGCGGGTGCCGCACCAATCATGTTTAATTAATTTAGCAATTTGACATCATCTTCTTGTGAGGATTTATTTCATCCATTTCCCACCCTGGAACCATTTCATGCAAGCCTCCAAAAATCACCAGGTGTGCACACATCACACATTTAACTTGTCATGATGTACTAAACACCCCCATACATGATCATAGCTCATAACTAAGTTTAAGAACTTTGACCAGCAAAGCAAAAGACACTTAAAACAGATTAATGTATACATCAGCACCTTTATACTCAACACTATTTACAACTGTTTCACTACCTCCATTATTATTCTCCTCAAAATATCTTCTTCAACTGAATTTCCCATAATTAACTTTTACCTGATCCTATTGCTCCAAACAATGTAGTTTAGTTGAATTTATAGTTTGGTGCACTTTATTTTTCTTTTCACATAATTGGAAATGGTTAAATTCATTGAACATCAGTTTTTCATAGGTGAGAGGGAGGTTGCTGGCTCTTGAAGCTCAGACTCAAATCAAGTAAAACATTTGAGCTGATAGAATCCTGAAGATGTGAATAGATTGCAGGTTGATTCACCAGAGAGGCAGAACGATTTAGGTAAAGTAATGAAAACACTGCTGATTTGATGTGAAGGTTGTTCAGATTGTCAGGCCGGTCCCATATATTTACGAGATGTATTGATTAGATGAGTGGTTGTGTTCTGAGCCACTTCAGGTGGTATCAATACCTTTGGTAAAAACCAATCCTCATGGCAATTTGTGGAACCTTTCTTTGACTGGCAGCAATGATAGTCTATTTTGATGGACACAAGGTCAGTCCAAGCTCCTGATGTATGTGTTTGAGGAAGGAGATGATTCAATTTGCCTCTTATCCACACATACCACTCTGATATCACATCTCAATTTACTTGAAGTTGCATTTACCAGATTGAAGTGTGTGATAGTGGTGGTGGTGATCGTGTAGCGAGTTGATAAAGAAAATGTTGAAGAAACTTACAAAACAATGAACCTCAAATCTTGAATTCAACTTGGGTCTCAACTTCTCATCTTAACTCATTCCGAACTTCAGTGAGCTCTAGAGATGAGATGGACAATGAGATCTCTTGAGAAAGTGGAATGCTATTGGATGGCATGATCACGACTGGTGGGTGATGATGGGAGTGACAAAAGTCTTGAGCCGGAGGGTGAATCAACAGCCGGATCAATATCCTTATAGAAAATCTGGATGTCTTCTACCAACTTGAGAGAAAGTGTGCCAGATTGATGAGGATCAATGTGATAAGATTGTAAGGATGGATGAGTAGGTGAATGGAGTTGAATTTGTAGATAGAAATGCTTACCTGATTAGAATTGGTTTGATGAGAGCCTAGAGGAGTGACTTGTGAGTAACAAATTTGGGATGAGGGTAAGGCAGGTGAGGCGTGTGGAAACCAGATTAAATGTGTTGAGCGTGTAAACCTGCAAATTGGTAGTAGGGATTGGGAGTTTAATCAGGTTTTGCCGGCGAACATGGTTTACCTTTAACTTGAACTAGAGCTTCGGGGGTGGCTCGCCGCCCTCCCAGGAATAGCATCATGCTGCTCCCTTGCACATCCTCATTGTCATCATCATGACCAAAAGTCTATCACACCTAATGTTGCACCCCAAAGAGCCATGGCCCCCCCGTGTCTAGTCCCCCCCGCTCATGCCACTGCCTCCCTGGTCCATTTTTCCACATTGCAGTGCGGCAAAAGTCTCTGGTCAACACATGCCATCCCACATCACCACCAATGGGGCTGAACGTTCATCATTTTTGCCCTCTCCAGACGTGTTTCCGTATTAAATTGAAGCAGATAGTTGAGAACCACACTGAATTCAATCTCCCAGGTATTTGTGTCTATTTGATGACCAATGACATTGCCCCACAGTGTGATCACATTACCCACATTCAGAGTGCCCATACTCAAGTTGGTTGTGATGTGTGAATCAATGAGATAGACGGTGTAAAGGTGTTGATGCTGTGACATTGAGATCGAAACAGTCAACTTAGTGGTGTGTGACGGGGAGTGCGAGTTCCTTGGCTGATAAGTGCAGCTCTGATGCAACACCTTTATATATTTGACAGCGAGTCCATTGGGAGTTCTGTTGCAGCATGACCATTCTCCAATCAAGCCAACGCCCTGTGTAGTGACTCATTAAGGAGACAGTTAAGACAAACTTTGGCATGGTTAAGAGAAATGGTGTTATTTGGCTCTTCAAAGATTGTGGAAATGCTGTTGATACTGCCAGCGGCAACTTCACCATTAATTTGGTAAGCATGATTGTGTTTCAGTGAGCTTCCATTCCATTTGGTAACAATTGGGACCTTGACACCTTGGAGTGTGTTGACATTGATCTTTATATCAGTTTCAAACATCTGATACATAGGGCTAGCATTATAGCTGGCCAATTCAGTCTGAAATAAACACAGCTTTAGCGTAATCACATATTGACGGAGCTAATGACATACCTTGGCTTTTGTTAAGTAGATGCTGCTGAAATGTAATGGAAAGTGCAACAAAGAGTAATTTTTCATTGAGGGAGTCAAACTTATTGAGAAAGTGGTAAATGGTCAGGATTATGTGACCAAAGGTGCAGAAATCAGTTTGCAGTGGTCTTAGCAGAGATGGATAAGAATGATTTAGGTGATCAGAAATGAAGATTAAGTATGCTAAACTGTGATTTTATAAATTGATGTTGCTAGATGGCATTTAACAATTGTCAACCAGGCGTCTCAGGTTGTTTGCTCTTTTGACTAACACATTTGCAATCTTGAGGTTGGTGGCACGTCTCAATGCTAGTTCATTTTGATGGCAATAGGCTGTCACTG